TACTTTATTCATCCCAAAGGAAATAATTTTTTATTATTCTATTATTGTCACAATGTAAAAAATAAAAGATTTAAAATTTTACAAAATAAAAAAACTAGAACTTACAAGTTTCTGTGTTATCTTAGACAGACACTTCTTGCAGTGTCCTCCTCCCATCTCCTCCTCTTCCTCCTCTCTCCTCCTCCTCCCTCAGTAAAGAGCCAGGGGGCGGGTCTTGCAGCTCGGGGCTCTATTACAGCCTGGGCAGGTGATGCTGAATCTCACACGGGGCTTCGACAGCCTCCCTGCGTATCTGGTTGTAACTCCACTGAGGTGACCTGGTTTCCAGCACCGGCTCCTCCACGGTGCACCAGCGGAGATTCTGCCACCTCTCCTCCCCGCCCGGTGCGTCTCACAGAGCGGCTACAGCTCGGGATTCAGCACCAGCGGGCCGGACGGAGCGGAGCTGTCCACACGTTCAGGAGCGAGCAGGGAACCAGAGACAATCCTCCAGGATGGCGTCGAAATGCGTCGGCCTCCTCTTGCTCTTCCAGCTCCTCGCTCTGAACGTAGTGAGCCACATATCTGCCTTCCCCACACCGACTGCTCCATCGGATGGTGAGTTGTCCGATAATCGCCTTTAACCATTAAAACGATTGTTGCAGCAATCCCGCACTTCTACTGTGAAAGTGTTTCTGTGCAAGTCATTTCCCGAAATAATTAAATGTTAGAAAAGTGATTAAAAAAAGGATATTTTACAAGCGACACAAAGTGCAACGAGGTCAATACAACTCACCACATGTTCCCTTAGGAAACAGACCCACCACGAGGCTGTGATCGTTGAATAATATGAGAATAATCTGCAAAGAATTGAACTAAATTTTAACATTCATCTTTATATGAGCGGTTAAATGCACATTATTGCAATTTCCTTCCATCTGTGCTCAGGTTAAATTGTTTTTTTACACTGTGAGTACAGCTCCACTTTGAATTAAGTTAGTTAGAAAACATGAGCTGACTGAATCTAATGTGAGAAACAAGCAGCTCCTGTGAAGTGTTGTGAACGAAGCCTCGTCCCTGTTAGGCCGCTTGAGGTCTATTTTAGCCGCAGTTTAATCTTTTGTTTGATAATCCGATTAAGCTCTGCCTTTACTGTGGTGAGTTAGGAGAGCTGGAACGAACACGAGTCTCGAAGCCGCAACTGTATAAAACGAGAACGGGGGAAAAAAATGATAAATGCAACCATTTTTTTAATATCTGCATCTACGAAAATGTTTATTAATATCAAATAACTGCAATTTTTTTCTGTGTTGCAGATAAAACTCTGTACAACAGACAGCTGACAGAAGAAAAACCAGTACAAGAGCAGGTGAGTCCTCTACGTCACATAACTCATTCTCACTTCCAATATCCGGCCAAATGGGCTCACTTGTCAAGTAACCTGGGTATTAACCCAGCAAACATTATTAATCTGAGCTGATGTCCTGGGTGGAAATTATTTATTAAATGTTTGTCTTTTCCCCAGATTGTTGAGGCAGACAGCGTGAAGGCTGCAGTCCAGTCAGCGGGTAAATGGAAACCTTTATTTCCGATCAATTAATGACTTTATTTCCGCCTGCTGAGTGGATTCATGTTGCCGCACTTCCAGTAAAACAGGCTTCGTCTGCACTAACGATTATATCAGAACAACATTCAGGAGCTGCTAGTTCCTCTCTTGTGTTCGTGAGGTTTGAACATTTGGTTTCTGCTGACTTTCAGAGAGAAGGCGTCCCGCTGCAGCCAAGGACACAGAGTCTCAGCAGGATAGTGATGACTTGACCGTGCTTAAGTCACTGGCTGACGGCCAGAAATCTCAGGAGTCCGCAATGGCACCGGTCAAGAAGGACGATCAGTACATTCCCGATGAATCAGATTCCACCAAGAGCCGGCGTCTGGCTGAGGACTACGACTCCACCAAGAACGGAATGGACGACGGCAAGTACCAGGGTACACACAGCTGGCACAGTGCACTAACAGACCCTGTCCAGGCTCTTGCTGGTGAAGGTGCCACAGGCTGCTGCCCACTGTACTGTGTCTGAGTCTTGACCTTTGCCCCCATCACCAAGGGCAGGCTGCCGGCCGCTTGCTTTGTCTGTTGTTGTCAGGCCGCCATACAGACATTTTGAGAAAGAGTAGGCAGAGGAAACATGTGCGTGTGATGGGGATAAGCAGAGGCAGATACAGTCAAAGACAGCACACGTGCATGACAGAGATCTTCTTCCTCTCAGACACTGCAGCAGTAAAAGCACATTGATGCTGTGCTTCTTTACAAAATACACCAACATCACTGTGTCCAAGTCATATGGAGAAATGTGTGAAAATACAAGATGGAGTCTTTTCTAGTCTCGAAATATCCAACATTTGTGACAAATCTTTTATCTTGAGATTAATTTCAAAATGACAAGAAAACTCCCAAAACCCTGCTGTGGTTTGACCTTCCTTCATATTAGACTTTTAAGTTGACTTTAACCCACAGTAGATTTCATCCGCACCGTACATACATGTAATCTGATATCCATTCGAGTCATCAGCATAAAGCAGAGTCTCAGAGGTGAGGTGACTCAGACACAAGATGCTGAGTGCTCTGCTTCATCGATTCGTACGGTCAGTCCTGCAATGACAAGCAGCTTGTCAGGTTACGCTACATCTACAATTGGCAAGCACAGTGTGGATTTCATTTTTTATTTCCCAGAGCAAGACACGAATAGGCCCAGTGTTTAAAGGTAAAGTACATAACTGATGATTCAGCCTTTCTATTCAGGCAAAAATATTCTGGCACTGGTTATTCTCATTGTGTGTGTGTGGAACACAGCGGGGGCCGTTATGCAAGAGTCAGGCTGCAAGGATCTTCATTTTTACTTAGTAATGCAGATATAAATACGCTGAACGCAAGATAAGGATGATTAATGATTTATGAGAAATCTAGAGCCAAGTTAAACATTTTAAGGTGTAATATAATCAGAGAGGTAGAAAAGAAAGACATTTCCCTACAACGAAAAATCATTCAAGATTATTGTTAATGTTGATGCAACTCAAAGATGTCAATGTCAATGAGCGTGTTTAAGGTTCAGATGATAACATGCATGTTGTCTCCTCTCAGAAGACTCAGAGAGCTTCCGTCAGGTGGACGGCACCATGCTGACAGCTGAGGACATCGTCCAGAAGATCGCAAACAAGATCTACGAGGAGGACGACAGAGGGGTGTTCGACAGGATCGTCTCCAAACTACTCAAACTGGGGCTGGTAGGTTTGTTCCCTCATACACAGCTGGATCCACACAGCATGGAGCATGACATTTCCTCAACAGGAACACTCTCTCTCTGCCTCTCTCTTTCTGCACTCCACAGTAGGAAAGGCAGACGTGTGAATTGGTTTTGTTCCATAGTTTTGGTTGCAAATTACTTTTTCAACAGTCAATAATTAGTTGGGTCGTGTTCAATTTGCACCCTGAGGGGATCTCTAGTTGAGAATGATACATAGTGTTTTCCTGCCAGTGCATGTTCTGACGCACAATTGTCTCTTTGTGTGTCTGTAGATCACAGACAGTCAGGCAGATACGCTGGAGTACCAGGTGGCCGAGGCTCTGCAGGACCTCATCACCAAAAACGCCAAGAGAAACGAGATTGAGGACGTGGAGAGCAATGACCAAGAAACCGGGGGAGAGCAGGACGACCAGGGTTCAGACATAAACCTGGTAAACTCAACTGAAGATAGTGTAAACAATGGTAATCATGCACAAGGCAAACAATAACAGCAAAAACTCTGGCATTTCCAGGACACGTGGGAGCCGCCCAGGCGCAGCTACAACGAAGACGAGGAGGAGGAGGCGGTGGATGACGATGAGATTGAGGACGAGGTGGACAGGGATGTGGAGGAAGATGGAGCTGATGCAGCAGACGATGCCTTGGACAAAGATGCCGAAGAAGGCAACGAGGTGAGCCCTGAAGATGGACTCCAGGATCTGCAGTACTTCCCCAACTTCTACCGTCTCCTCAGGAGCCTCAACTCAGGTAAAGATCACACAAACGCACGCTGAGGTTCCTGTGATGTTTTATATCCCAGCCACAAAAATCTTTGCTTCAGAGAATCCTCTGTCCAAAGATAGAAGTTCTTCAGATGGAGACCAGTGGACCAGATAGCTGCTGTTGTCATGGCAATATTATTTCCAAGGATGAGTCACTGCTTGCTTTATGGACCTTTGTGTGCCCCCCCCCCCCAACACAACTTCACCAGGAAGTGCTCAGGAAACACACACACAGACACATTACTAATTATTTATACTCCAGTCATTATGAACCCCACATCCACACATTATGTGGCAACATTAACTATGGTAACCAATTAGCATCAACAAGCATCACTGCGAGGGGGTGGTTTTAAATTATTTCTCTGGTTTGCCGTTTGCAGATCAAGACACTCAGGAGAGGGAGACACTGATTACCATCATGAAGACGCTGATCGACTTTGTGAAGATGATGGTGAAGTATGGCACCATCACACCGGAGGAGGGAGTGTCCTATCTGGGTAAGACATAACACCAGCACTTGGGGACATTCGATGCAGGAACTTGAGACACAGAATCACGTAACAGAGGCCACAGTCATAAATATATTTGTATATCTATAGCTTGACACTTGATTCCTGACCTTGGGAATAGTAGTTCTAACTATAAACTTCCCATCACACCTCGATTCAAGATTATTTATCAACTCACTGTACATCTACTGGCATCATATCTTGTTTATGTGATCATATGTTATTGTTTCTTAAATTGTCTCATCTAACGAAAATATTCACTAAATTAACAAAATTATTATAGAGTAATTGTTTTGCGAATTTGATGCATTACAGTGAAACACAGTTAAATAATTTAGACTTAATTTAAAGTTTGTATCTTAATTTGTGTGGTTTGCATACAGTTTCTTATATACCATTATATATTGACATCATATGAGGCTTGAGGGTTTAAAACTTACCTCTCTCTCCATTGCATTAGTGCACATGCATTTCTCTCTCTCTGCTGCTTTTTAAATTGTATTCGATGTGTGTTCAGCCGAGCTAATGTTTCCTTCAGTCAGTGCAGTGGAGTGTGAAGCCTGCACAGACAGATTAGTGTCAGCGGCACCCTACAAAACCAGGCTGTATTTATTTAGTTTTTTATTTTCGGCCATGACAAATCAGTAACCAGTAGAAAGGTCAGGTACCTTTAAGAGAAAGCTGTCATCACTAACATCTCTCTCTTTAGTCCTAGACAGAGCAAATAGGAATTATACACGCTTTCATAAATGGATTTAGATATATTTATACCATGTATAACTTGAATGGCACTCAGAGAGAGTCCCTTTAAAGGAACACTTTTAAATTCATTCAATCTTGATTTTTATTTGAATCTGCACCAAATTGCACACACATAAATAGTAAATCAACATGCATGGTCTTTTGCATCAAGATCCATGAATTATTCTCTGAGAAATAAAAAAGGTAAATGAAAAAAAGAACACCCTATCTCGCAGCCCCCTGATCCGCATCCACACCAAATTTGAATGGTATCTTTCCTGACCTATAGCAAAAACAGAACCTCCTTGGCAGAGGCAGCATTTATAATAGGATTAGCTTAATATAATTATTATTAATAAATGTGTAAAAAAAAATGTCCATAGCTCAAAATGATCCAATCCAAAATGTAAAGACTTTCACTTTACACTGAAATAAAAGCGATCAAGGCAGATA